GGATGCCTGACCTTATTTGGAACATGACCTTTGGCATAGTTACCTGGAGTAAAAACTACCCCCAGGTTTTTTCTACATGATAATCAGGCATTTCCTGATAGTCTGGAAGATAGGAGCCCACTGCCACATGTAAATAAAGCATACTATGAGCACCTATCAGCTGAGGCTTTGGCTGCTGCCTCCACACTATAATTTCTCTAGTTCTCCCACTGAATAAATGGAGCTGTTTCACTGTGTCTGGAGCTGTATCACCGCTGTTTCACTGCGCCTGGGACCAGCCTCCCCAGAAAGGCTTTCTTCCATCAGTGCTCACTGGCCATCCTGACCCCGTTCGTCGCTTCTGCTCCCCCTGCCCTCATGGGCCGGTGGCCAACGACCCGCAAAGAGAGGGAGAGACCCCCGCACTCCCCTGGCCCCTGTTCAACTTGCTTTCTTAAACAACACAGGCCCACCTGCCTAGGGGTGGCACCGCACAGTGGGCCTCCCACATCACTAAGATGCCCCTCAGACATGGCCACAGGCCAGTCCAATAGAGGCAATTCCCCAATTGAGGCTCCTTCAATCCAGGTGTGTCAAGTTGACACTAAAGCTATCCAGCACAAATGTTATGCTGAGATGCTTGGAGATACTGTATAGTTTAACCAGATAAGATTTTTTTATTATTATTATTATTTTTATTTTATGTGTATGCATGTATTGCCTGCATGTAGGTAAGTGCACCCGTGTCGTGCAGTGCCCGCAGAGGTCAGAAGAGGCTGTCAGATCCCCTGGGATTGGAGTTGTGGACAGTTGTTAGCTGCCATGTGGGTGCTGGGATTCAAACCCGGGACTTCTGCAAGAACAACCAGTGTTCTTAACCGTTAAGCCATCTCTCCAGCCCCTAACCAGATAAGATTTTTATTTTAAGTAGATCACTATCTTTTTGGAGACATGATCCAAGATAGTGGTTCTCAATCTTAGGTGCATGTGGAATCTTTCAGGATAATTTCACAGCTCCCATGTTTACTGTAGACAAATCAGCTTAGAACTGGTGGCACCAGTATTTATAATATTTCACTGGTAGTTACTGTGATCACTCAAGTTTGAAGACTACTAATGTACAGGAATAAAGATTGAGCAGGGGGCTCTTCAAAGTTTAACATGCTTTAGAATTACCTGAATTGATTGAGTACATCAAAAATGGGACCTGAGAATTTGCATTTCCAGCAAGTTCCTAGGCAGTACTGATGCTCCTGATCTGGTGACCACACTTACAGAACCATTGACCTGGAGATAGGGATTAGAAATCTCTCTTAGCAGTCTGAGGGATGAAGGCCTGAACTTCAACATGACAATGGGGATGTGGAGGGTGGGACAGAGCTGAGAATATAACTGCTAAAGTCAGTGTATTTTTGTTGAGATGATATAGAGAGGAGTGGAAAAGGGGAGGCATCAAAAAGTGACTTCCAAGTTTTGGGTTTGGTAACCACATGGTGGCATTCATTGACAGAGCCATAAAAGGAACAGGTTTTGTAGGAGACATCATGGTTCTAGGTGCTCAGTTCGATGTGTATAAGGAGCAGCCAGTGAATGTATTTGCAAATACTAGCCTGTTCTAGTTTGTTTCTCCATTGCTGTGACAAAATACTCTGACCAATACTAACTTTTGGAAGAAAGGGTTTATTTGGCTAACATCTCACAGGTCACAGTTCATCAGGGAACCCAAGGAACTCAGGGCAGGAACCTGGAGGCAGGAGCTGGAGCACAGGCCATAGAGGAATGCTGCTTACTGGCTTGCTCCTCTGGCCCATGCTCAACCTGTTTTCTTATACAACACAGGCCCACCTGCCCAGGGGTGGCACCACCCACAGTGGGCTGGGGCCCTCCCACATCACTCAGTAATCAAGAAGATGCCCCACAGACATGGCCACAGGCCAGTCCAATGGGGACAACTCCCCAGTTGAGGCTCCCTCAACCCAGGTGTGTCAAGTTGACACTAAAGCTATCAAGAACATAGCCCTAAGTTGGGAAAATTAATGGATGTAAATAAGAACCCATGGAATCATTAGCAGACAGATAGGTACATAAGTAAGCAGAGAAGGTAGAGTAGTTCATAGCTTTTTTGCATTTCTAGGATGCTAAAGTACTGT